TATGTATATATATATTTATATATACTTTCCGTCAAATCATTTCGCAACGACTACCGTAAGTGTATCTCAACAGTATCATAAATACGCACAGATAAAAATTGTACCGATGACCGATACCTTGTACTTGTCTGTGAAACGTTGATTTCGGAATATATTGTACTTTTTTTTTCCCACAAAAGTGCAGTGCCGAGCCAGTACAAATTTAAGATAATGATAATTACTGGAGAGAGAGGGGAAAAAAAAAATATACTGGAGTAATAATAGTCGAGCACTCGAACGTCTCGAGCTTCGCGAGATAATCGTGCACTATCGAAATCAATCGAGTCCTCGTGATGTACAATTGGAATTTATTTCGTTGACGTATCAAATCATTATCGAAAATCTGATCGAAGGAGGAGGAGGAGGAAGAGTGGATATATAATATGAGTCATAGTAAATATGTAATATACGCGCATAGCGCGAATTCCACGGCGATCTTATCACCCCGAGATTTTTCCGATTCCGAAAAAACAAGCAAAGAACCCGCCCAACTTCAAGGTAAAAACGATGACGTCGGACCGTTTGAGAGGACTGTTTTTGCGTGTGTATGCTTTTTTTTTTTTTTTTTTTTTTTTACTCTTGGATTTTCATCGGAGAGGAGAGCGATCGGCATAATTGACGCAAGTTAACCGGCTCACCTCTTCCGCCGGATTAAGAGTATACGTACACGGGAGGACGTCGAGTGCTCTCTTCAAACGCCACTCGGGGTGTTTCCTCTTTTCTCGTTACTACGGCATATTACTTACTTCATACTCGCTCGCGCGATACCATCCGTAAATTGTACGTGTACACTTACGTATACCCATGTATCTTCGATGATACTTGTAACAGCGTCTTGCTATCCGATCGTCACTGGCCTCTCTCTTTATGGTCTAGGCGGATCCGCGAGCCTTTTTTTTTTTTTTTTTTTCTTCTTCCACCACGAGCGAGTTTCTTTGAAAGTTCATTGAATACAAATCTATGCCTCGCGTTCGACCATGTACACATAAATCGGAACCTTCGATTTTTTACCTATACACTATTTTTACGCCCTTCGAGCTCGATGACACGTTACTTTTTTTTTTTTTTTCTCCTCCTTACATTTTTTTGAGCTTCATCCTTCGGCCATTGTGTTGGCTGTTTATGCCGATTGCCGAGAGATCGGTTCGAAAATTTTCCCCCGTGCAATAATAGAAGTCGAGTTGCCGACGTACAATGACTCTTTTTTCTTTAATTATTCTCGATGACTGTCAAAATGTACGAAAAAAAAAAAAAAACCCCCGATTACATATAGATGTAATGTAAATACTTTTATGTGTTATTATTGTAAACGTTCTCTGCACAATGCCGATCGCGAAAAGATTTCGAATGAACCACCAGCGAAACATGTTGAGATAAAATTTTCATTGTCACGGTTGATAACGTACTTTTTTTGCAGTTTAAAAAAATCCAGCCGTTAGCGACGAGACGATTTTATCGTTTTTTTTTTTTTTTTTTTTCATATTATTGAAACGCGCGCACCCTTGGATTCGCTATTTGAAAGCCTCTGGCTCGCACGAGGCCCTTGGCGATGCTCGCTGTAATTAATAGCCGGAGCGAACCGAGACGATAGTCATCGCTCGCAGTACAGATGTATTATCGTACAGCCAAGGAGGAGGGGGGAGGGGGCTTTTAAACAATCATTTAGAAACATTTCACGACCGATGACAACAACGACAACGATCGTATTGTTGGATAATCGCGATCTTTCCTGCATAGCGAGGCACTCGACCTCGGACGCATCGGTTTATTTTTGGCCTTTGCTGTACCTATGTACATACATCACAAGAGAGAGAGAGAGAGAGGGGAGATAACATACAGATTCATTAATTATATTATCGACGCGATGAACAAGAAGAAGCAAGGAGATCCTTGTTCGAGACGCAAAGTATAGGTGTACTTACAAACGAGCGAGTAATGTATTATATTGTTAAGTGTGCGTGTGGTGTATACAATTATCGCGCAACGCGGGAGGGTAATAAACATGTCTTTAACGCGGGCGCGTGCACACGCTCGCGAGAGATATCTCTTCTCCTATAATGAGATGCAGAAGGACCGAGCGCTATTGTAATACCAAACGAGCGTGCACATATGTATATATACACACATATGAAATAAAATCTGACGATGTAAATTACTACAACCAAGTATATACATATACTTACTTACGAGTAGATTGCGTCAGCGACTCTAATATTATTATCATGTATAGCGCCATCCCCATATGTACATGTATATGTATATTTTTAGTAATGCGGATACATATACACGTGCGTATAATATTCATGGGAGTGACCTGTGAGATCGACGCGTCATCGTTATCTCCGCGCGGATGTGTATTCATACGTATATTGTGCTTATGATGGAGCCAAGCGCCACCGGCATACACACGCTGCAGGTGATTCACTGCGCGCGTGTACCTATATGTCATCGCCCATTTGTATACTTACATACACCCGCGGAATTTCTGGCGTTTGACGTGAAAAATGTACGAGGTTTCGTAGTGTTCGTCTTTTAATTTGCAATTGGTTTTAAACCTCGCGGAGTCATCCTCTTACGCATGGTACACTTGAATTTATAGCCACGGTTCGAACAGCAGCGAAATAAACAGATCGACGATCGGTGAATTTTAATAAATAAATAACAAATCGGCCTGGCTTGGCGATGATCGTGTCGGCTATTTTCAGCTTTGGCCGGTGTTACAAACGATGAGCTACTCTGGAGAGTTTGCATCAAACCTTTTTGCGCCCTGTTTTTCTCGCCCCGCGAACGATCATCGGGTTAATTTTAGTTTCCCGAGCAGCGGCTAATCTTTTGAACAAACGATTGGGGCTCCCGAGTGAAAAGTGCTTTCCACGAGCTCAACTGTCATTAAAAACAGATGCTCCACACGCGTGTGTACCCACCACAGGTCTAACATTGCTCCTAATATCGATGCAACAAGTGGGTCAAGAACACCCGCGCGCACAACATGTTACTATCTGCTCACTGTAAGGTACAAGTCACAGCGCTAATTGGTCGGCTTTGACGTGTACACTATACTGGCGGTTCAATTTCTTCTTCCTCCCCACGACATGACTTGTGGAAAATAATAAAAAAAAAAAAAAATACCTTTTTTTTTCTCCCATGGGTATATATAGGTGTATCCATTACGAACCTCTTAGCGAAGGCAGCTTCGAGGTTTTGACAGGCAACGATTCACAGCGATATTACAGCTAAAACACAATTATGTATACACTTACAACTAGTACGCGATGACTTGGGTCGAATCAACAGCTGCCCAAATAAAAACTCGAGTGTCAAGGGTACTTGCAAGAGCAGAGTTTTGTTGATTTCCATGGGGAAAAAAGACACCCTCTTCACCCTCGTTGCATAATCATAATTGGGTGATAAACGAGCGTAAATGACTCTCGGCGATAATCGGTATCGCGAGCAAAAGAAAAAGAAAACAAAAACAAAAACACATTCCAATCTAATTTCGGAGTTTCGTGAAATTATGTTCATTGACTCCGAATATTTGTCGATCCCGCGCATTCCTATGGGTTACATCAACCGGCGATAAAGTTTACGATGAAAATGAGAAAGAAAAAGAAGGTTGCATGGAGAGATGGTGGAAAAATCGCTAATCGACTCCATTCGCGAAGCAAATAACTTGGAAGAAAAAAAAAAAAAAAAAAATTGGGGAGAAGGGGAGGCGCGTTCCAGATTTTTTGCTCAGTAGTAAGAGAGGCGCCAGAGAACTCATTACTCATATACGCATCTACAGCTGCAGTTAAACATCTAAATTGCTCGCACGCGGTTACCATGTTGTACATATATATATATATATTACGCTCCTCGTTTTTCTCCCCCTCGCGCATATACATAATATATGTATGTATGTGCAGTTGCAGTGATTTTACACGCGTAACATAACACACTTGAGCCGCATCAGCTGAGCGCGGCTAATCGTGTCCGCGAGCGCGTTTATACACGAGTACATAAAAAAGTGTGCGCACTGCATCGGCAACGACCGACCCGACGTAATCTTTCTTGAGCTTTCAAGTGCTGCCCCGTCGCCTGCGATACACACGAATATACCACCCATGGTATTGCGTCATCGGCGAATCCTCTAAATAAAATACACATCCATACGCGTATAATTATGTATATACCGAACTATACCGGTACTTGATTTTTTTTTTTTTTTTTTTTTCCCCTCCACCGCACGATTGCACCTCGAAACAAAAGATCCGCCTTTACTCCCCGATATGACTCCATACACTTATAATACGGCATCGACCAAAGACGATGATGATCGATAGCACGGCTCGATTCCGTCCGATGATATCACGAGCGCATCGGCTGCAAATACAATTAGCGCGTCGGCGCACGCACACCCAATAACGCAAAAAACAATTTGCAAAATATCGATGATTGATTTTTATGTCCGCGTCAAGCGTGACTTCTCGGAAAAGGCACAATCGCCGGCGGATGACGCATATCGGCAGTTGCCGCGTATAATGGCCAAAGGGCGCGGTGTGACCGATAAATAACATAATACTACACGTGATGTATATGCAATTGACTCGGCAGATGAATTGCAATGAGTTAAAGTTTAGCGATATGTTATGCGACAGGTCGCGGGAGCACAGGCTGGGGTCGCTGACGGCGTTGGCGGGCCTCGTTCTACTCAACAGCATCACCTGCAACGCCAGACTCGACTACACCGGGCTGTACGGCTCGTACTGCGCGAGTAGGTACGAGGAGCAGCGCTGCTGCCCGGGCAGGCAGGACGAATGCAGGTTAAAAATTTTTCTTTCAACTTTACACGTTCAACTTTATTTTTACCTATATGTACTTTTTTTTTTTTTTTTTTTTTTTCCGTCAGCGTGCCGATCCTGGGGACACTGTGCTACTGCGATACCTTCTGCAGCGATCGCGACGGCGAGGAGGACTGCTGCCCCGATTACCGGTCGTATTGCCACGGTGACAGGGAGCCCCTGCCACCGGCCCCCGGAAATTTGACCCAACCGATCGGCGGTGGGTTTCAATTCTTTCCCACCACTTTTACTTTTTTTTTTTCTTTCTTCTACTCATGGTAAATATAAGTTGCTTTTTTTTTTTTTTTTTGTTGGTCCAGAATGCACCTACCAACGCAAGAGGTACAAAAACGGGGACAAGTTCAAAGACAACTGCAACAACTGGTTAGTATACTGAAGTATGAAAAAAAAAAAAAGAAAAAAGAAAAAAGTAGAAAAAAGTACGAAAATCGAGAGAAAAATGAAAAACGTGTGTAAGAATGTCGGTCCGTTGTGCAGCAAATGCTCGGCGCTGGAGGAGGACTCGTGCAAAATCATGTGCGAGAACAACGAGTGCTTGATGAGCCGTGAGGTGATAGATCGGATCAACAGAGTCGAGAAGCTCGGTTGGGTGGCGAGGAACTACTCGATGTTCTGGGGCCGCACCCTCCACGAGGGCCTACAGCTAAGGACGGGCACCATCAATCCCGCGCACTCGGTAAAACACAAACGCACATTTTGTGTATACATATATGTATATATATATATATATATATATATATATATATATATATATATATATATATATATGAATATGTGTTGATCGGTATGGATATAACTGTGCAGATCTACCGGATGAACGAGCCCCTGAGAAGGGCTTACAACACCGAGCACTTGCCGAGGGAGTTCGACGCTAGGGTGCGCTGGCCGGACGACGTGAAACCGGTAAGCGACCAGGGGTGGTGCGGCGCCTCGTGGGCCGTGTCGAGCGCCGACGTGGTCTCCGACAGGTTTGCCATAATGAGCAAGGGCGCCGAGCGGGTCCACCTGAGCGCCCAACAGCTCGTCTCGTGCAACAGCCGCAACCAGCAGGCCTGCCACGGAGGATCCCTCGATCGCGCCTGGTTTTTCACCAAGAGATTCGGGTACAGGCAAACATAATACCTTTTTTTTTTGTTTACTTTGTCCCTCCTCTGTTTGTATTTGCTCAACTTTTTTGTGCTGACCTCTCGTTCAGACTGGTGGACGAGAAGTGCTATCCCTGGACGGGACTGCCCGACAGGTGTAGCGTACCGAGGAAGGGCAAACTAACGGAGATCGGCTGCCGATCGCGAAGCAGCTACGCCCTGCGGGACGAGTACTACAAGGTGGGCTCCGTGTATCGGCTCGTCAACGAGACGGACATCATGCACGAGATATGGACCTCCGGACCGGTTCAAGGTAAGCTGTACATGTCGGTTATTGTTGGCTTTCAATATATATATATATACATATTAATTGTACATTGTGCGCAGCAACGATGCGGGTTTATCGGGACTTTTTCAACTACGAGTCTGGAGTGTACGTCCACTCGAGCTTGTCCGAGGAGCTGCCGAGCGGATATCATTCCGTGCGGGTGATCGGCTGGGGCGAGGACCCGTCGCCCCTCACTGGACTGCCCGTCAAGTTTTGGGTAACACCTCGCATACATTTTTTATTTACCTTCGAGCGTGGATATAAATATGTATGTTGTACTTATGGCTTGTGGTTTTTTTTTTTTTTTTTTTTTTTTCTCGTTTGCAGCGCGTGGCCAATTCTTGGGGCAGGGAGTGGGGCGAGGACGGATACTTCAGAATCATCCGAGGGACGAACGAGTGCGAGATCGAAAACTTCGTCGTTGGCGCTTGGGCGAAGACGGTGTAACGATTCTACACGATGTTTCGGCGTGTATACCGCGAAACCGCCTGCGCTTAGTCCGTAGTGCGCGCGAGAGCTTACGTTTGTTGGAAAGTTTTTTTTTTTTTTTTTTTTTTTTGTTCTTTTTTACGTACGTTATTTTTATTTCCCGACCTTGACCTTCAGTCGTCAAGGCTTTCGTGAGCGTTTCATTGTATTCATCCCGATATTTTTAGGGTACGAAAAAATATATTTACGTAGCAATTTTTTTTTTTTTTCCATTTTTCCATTTCCAATGTCGGATGGAGAAAAATACAGAGTTGCGCGCGATTTATTAGACGCGTTTGTTGATCATACTGTGCCAGAATTACTAACTAACCACCGTGCCGTTGATTTCGCATCGATTTTTATTATTTATTTTAAAAACTAAATGTTATTTATTTAACGTGTTTTATCGATAGTTTTTTTCAATCTAAAGTAGGACTATAGATGATATTCTATACGCTTTTTATAGTTTTTAATTGAATGTGTACAAAATGTTGACATTGAGATTTTTTGACAATAAATCGACAATAATTCATGTTTTTCAGCATTTTCCATCTTTATTTGCCCACTTGCCATCTTTCAGCGTTTTTCAATCTTTTGAACAAAGCGATATCGTACAAAAAAAAAACTGTTCTTCTTCCGTGCGCAATCGCTTAATCAACCGGTATACGATTAAACTGCAATTTTTCACAATGACTTATCGACTCGCTACATGTTTTCCTCAATTGACAGTTACTTTTCCATCGAGTAAAACATTTTGGAAAATTTTCCAACAATCGCCACGAACGATCGCAAAAACTAAATTGACCCTCGTCATTTATCAAAAAATTCCAACGTTATTTTCAGACTTGAGTTCAATTTTACTTTTCCAAATGCGTTGCGATAGAAAACTTTTCCTCATAATGTGAATCATCAGTTGTGATAAAAAAAAAAAAAAAAAAAAAAAAAAAACGAGTCAATCAGCCAAAAGAAAATGTCTTTTTTTTTTCATCAAGACACTTATAACGCGCTTAGTGCCAATGCGCGAGTGAGTAACAAAAGTCGAGCGGGGGAGGAGAGCAGTTCGCATCGCGCAATGCATCGACTGCAGCGTCATACGTTGGCTCGAATCAGAGGTGCGCGAGTACAAGTATACGTAAGAGAAGAAGAAGAAGAAAAAAAAAAGAAAATACGCGTGAGACAGAAAAAGAGAGAGAGAGGGTACGGCAAAAGAGCAGAGAAGAGAGAGAGAGGAGGGCAGGAGCGGCTCTCTGTGCCTACCTTACGCCAATATACCTCCGAGCCGAATTGCGATACGACGAGACGAGAGACGCGTGTGCTGCGCTTAGGAGGTAAATTAGTGACGCTCGCGCTTTCGAGCGAGTTGCAAGCACACTCATCATATCCACACACGTACACAAATTGTGTTGTTGTTGTTGTTGTTATTTTGCCGTTTGACACTTTTCACCGCTTTCGGCTTTTCTTTTTTTCCTTCCCCCGCCACTTCCACGGTGTGTTTTCCTCGCTAAAGTGGCTGCACCGAGCGCACACCCACTACTACTGCATCAACGCCCCAAACCATGTAAGTACACCAACATTAAAGCAAAAAGAAAAGTATTGTATAATGTTTGTTTACCCCTATCAACGTCGGTGGCGGTGAAGATGGGCAAAAAAAAAAAAAAAAAAAAAAAAAACAAAGTCTCTCTTTATCGTGCTTATCCGCGCGATAAGATCCCGTGATTTGCCATTCGTACAAAGTAATGGACTTGAGGCGCGCGAAAAGTGAATTCGCGCTACCGATCGACTGAAATAACATACCGATCACGAAGCGACTGATTATCCCGAAATCTCGGCTATCACGAGAGGGAAAGCTTCCTTTCGTCCACCGAGCGATCGCGGGGGAAGTATATATTTTTGAAGGGGTCAAAAAAAACCTAATATAATACCATAGTAAGCAGTGCGCGCTTTCCACCTTCGACGCATGGTCGATGAAAAAAAAAAAACGCACGCTAACAGCGCCTACAATTTCAAAGGAATTTGCTCTCCAATATATAAATACGTCTAATGTGTATATATCAAAGCGTATGTACAGTGTACGGCTTGAGATAGCGCTTCTTTTGACCAGCGGACTCTTGGATATGATACACATAATATACGTATTGCATACCTTTTAATTTTAATGGGGGGCGACGCTTGGCGATTTGAACGTCGACCGAATTCGATACGTCCGTGTTTTGGGGAACTCGCAGCTCGCGTATACCAGAGTAAAACGATACGCGTGCGTGCACATACAGATATATTATATTAATAACGCGGAGCTCGAAGCTGTGAGAATCGGTGATTGGCGAATCGTGCACGTGTAGAGGGTATGTATACGTGCTTTTGATACATTATTGAGACGCGCGAAAGTCACGTGTACAGTAATTAAACATCCGAACGCGAAAGAAAAATCAGCCAAGTCGATATGTTGTTGTTACCGATCATGTACATCCCGAGAGCAATAATCGAGCGTAAAGTGCAGCAGGTGAGAGCGCGCAACGAAAAATGGTCCCCCCCGGGCGTAACCGATTTTCCCTCTCGCAGGCGAGAAAGATCGGTCGTGGATAAGCGGCTTTGGCCGAGAGGAAGGAAAAGTGCGTGTAATGGCTCATGCATCTCGGGATTTGCGCGCACTTATTACCCGTAGGGACCGACGGTCCGTTATCGCGCGAATAAAACTCCGATTTCTCACGGGAAACCTTTTTTCTTTTATCTCGGATAAATATTTAAGCTCTCGGCCCGAAGCTGTGGGTTATATCCCCCTGCGCGCAGGTTGCATACGCGAGCCGACTCTCCGTACACCTATATGTACTTCTCGTTGTTCTACTTTTGCCTCCCCTCCCCCCCCCCGTGCATGATCCTCGAGGCTACACGCGACTGCAGCGGCTCTAAATGTTAATTCGTCATACCTGCCCGTGCAACGCCACTGCACTGCAATAAAACCATCAAATCCACGACGCGGGAGGAAAACCTTGGGCCCGTCGCAACTGCAGTGGCCATAGGTACATCTGGTCGTTGCAATCGATGAAAAATCATGGTAAAATTCAGGGCAGTCAAGCGATGGAGTGCACGTTATTCTTAGTTGGGGGGGGGGGGGCGAGACCACTCGAGATATTCTCCCACGTCATCGAGATGCTTTGCACATCACCGTCATGGGTATACCCACAAAATGATGATACCGATGACGATGAACGCAAACGCTTCTGTTGCACACACACACACATATATATATAATATACATTTATGTGGGCTCTGGAATTTTGTGTACATTTATTTACATATGGATAGACGTAACTCCCACGCGCGCTCTATACCATACGTATATTTAGGTATTTTATGTAAAGTGTAGCGTCAACTCGCTCTACGCATTACTGTACATGTATATATATATATATATATATATATTACGTGGCGTGGCGATACACGAATTTCTCGCTACCTACCCGAGTTTCTCTCTTATCGGTGTACAAATAATTCGAGTTTTTCTGCAAAACNCCACCTCGTAGGCCATGTCGAAGGTGCTCTTTCAACACAATCGCATCAATATGCGTGACGCGTAAGCCTCGTTTTTTTTTCCTCCCCCCATCTCTCTTTCTTTCTTCCTTTCTTTCTTTTTAAGCTTGAAAAAAAAAAAAAAAAAAAAACGGGTGCTTGTTTGCAGGCCACCTTTTTTCATCCCGGGGAATTGCCAAACGCGTAAAAAGAAACCGGAATACGAAAACAGCCCGAGTCCGACCGGTGACGGCGCGTGAGCCCCCGGCAAAAAACAACAGAGAGAGAGAGAGAGAGAGAGAGAGAAGGAAAGTTTTATTCTTCAATCATGTATATATTACGTATACTACATTCATGCGGTAACTCACGAGTTTTTTGTAAATAACGAGCATGTGGAGGACCGTGTTGCCGTTGGTGTCCTGGTTGTCGGGGTTAGCGCCCCTGGCGAGTATCAGCCGGTAGCACTCCTCCTGGCCCAGGCACGCGGCGAAACTCAGCGGGTACTCGCCCCAGTACACGTACCTAATGTACATAGGTATAAATGACAACGAGCCAAGGACATCTACATGTATTGCGAAATGAGCCAATCACCCGTCGTAGTTGGTCTCCGGGTTGACGCAGACCCACTCGTGCTCGGTGCTGTCGTTCCTGGAGGCCTTCTGGTCCTCGGGGCACATAAAGTTCCCGACGCAGCGCTCGTTCACGTTCGCCCCGCTGTCCAGCAAAAACTTGACCATCGCCGGGTCCTCGTTCACAATGGCTATGTGCAGCACGTTCTCCCCTGTTAGCACACGCGCCCATAACACGATGTAAATGTAATATACAAATGTTTGCGCTATAACTCACGACAATCGACGCACCGTAGTACTCGTCGTCCATGTATATGTCATTGATGAGGTTCGGATAGAAGCGTAACAGTCTCTTGGCGAGGTCGGCGTGGAGGGACGTCGCGTTGAGCATGCATAGGTGGAGTATCGTCTCGCCCACGGCACCCCGGGCGCCCAGGTTCCAGCAGACTAGTCTGTGCTTGCTCTTGTCTGGTGGCATGTGCATGCACATACTTGCACCGATCGTTATAATACAAGATGCATCGATGATTCCCCGTTTATAGGTGGGGGCTTACCGATCATGCTCTCGTCGACCTCCTCCATGTCCTCCATGTCCTTGTCAATGTCGTACTCCTCGGGCTTCTCCATGGCCTTGAGCACCGGGAGCATCTTGTACCTCGGGCGCTCCTTGTTGCGCAGGAGCACGAGCTTGGCCACGGGTATCCACTTGCCCCTGCCCTTGTTGTACAGAAACGGCTCTACCTTGGTCCGTATCGCGTGGTCCAGTTCCGCGTATTGCTTCGTTTGCGAGGCCCGTTTCATCATGTCCACGAACAATCCACCGCCTTTGTTTTGTGGTTGTTTTAACGACGAGCATCATCATTTTTTTTTTTTTTTTTCCTTACCTTTCAGGTCGACGAGTTTGTAGAGTAGGATGGAGCCCGCGTCGGTTTGCTTCTTGACGCCGCTGGTCACGTTGCTCTCGGTATTTCCCATTTTTCGTTGACACCAGCGACAAACGCCAGCCGCTTGTCATCCAAAGTACGATTTTAACAATTCCAAGTGTATATTATGTACATGTAACTTCGGGACTCGCGATAACAACGTAGAGTGATCCGTGTTGTCGTAACTATGGCTTTATCGATCAAACCCATGCGGTTTTCAAGATGTGCGACAATATATTGTAATGTAACGAGTGGCGTCTCGATCGCCTTTTTAACGCGAATTTATTGCCATTTTGTTGTATAACGATGCGGTTCGTGTCATGAATCTCGATTAACGCGCAATCAATTGCATATCATCGGACGGTTTATTTTTTGGCGGGCGCGAGTCATTTTTGCGTCAACGTATTTTGTATTTTTTGTTTCTCTATTAACATTGACGTAAAAAAAAAATTTGGCTCAATTACGTATTATCGTTCTGGCAACTTTTCATGTCATTGATGATGTATCAATGCACAAGTAACTTTTGACATAAGTCCACAGGATTCGATTTACTCGAAACACAATGCGGTTTTCAGGGTGAATCATCGATACCATCATCTTTGATGTTATTGTTAAAACTTTTTTTTTTTTTTTTTGTATTAAAAAATACATAAAAGGCTACAGTAAAACGGCACTTGGATATCCTGTGCACCAACGAAATAACCTTAGCAATTGACATTTCTCCGCGGCATTTCTTGGAATTGTCTTCGNAAAAAAAAAAAAAAAAAAAAAAAAAAAAACTGCTTGATAAGTATAGTGTAAATAAGAGATGTTTTAACGAAAAAATAATGCTTACAAACCTTTGATCAACTTTTCCCAAGCCCGACCAAGTTAAACGCTCAATCAAAGTAATACTGTACAAGCAGAGAATAAAAAGAAAAAACAAAAAACCTCCCGAGCAAAGTTGCGATTGACAAACACACGTCAAATTGATCAAAAAGCCCGCTCCGCGCGATAAGACGAAGATAAACGCGCCAATATAAATGTATGTTTGTTTCCGTTGTTTCGACACGCGCGCCTATAACATTAACAACGAGAGCGCTGCCACCGACGAGTTGTACACTCAATGAGCACGAACCAGTGAGCTTTTGTTTGTCGGACGTCAACGCTGGCGGACGCGACCGCGCAATCATGTTTCCCCGTAACAAGTTTGTTCTACTCTTGTGCCTCGCCGCGAGCTGGGACGCCACGCTCGTCGACTCGTCCGAAGAAAAAAAGTTGAAAACGCAGCTAGTCCAAGTCGTAAGAATCGTTTTTCAACCGAAATTCGTTGGATCGCGAGTGTGCACTTTGACATTTAAAATATCTCACGTTTTTCCCCCTCCAGCTCTTCAGGCACGGTGCGAGGACACCCGTAAAGTGCGAGCTGGCGTTGCTGGACAACAACGCAACCCTCTACGAGCCCTGGGGACTGGCCCAATTGACAAACGTGAGTGTACCAACACGTAAAACGTCACACAGTCGCATGAGAAATATATCATACCGATCTTTAGCAAGGAATGGCGCAAGAGTACCAGCTCGGCGAGATGTTGAGGGAGCGGTACGGCGCTTTCCTCACTGAGGACTACAGGCCGGAATTTGTCTACGCGTACGCGTCCGGAGTCAGTAGGACGAAGGCTTCCCTCGAGTTGGTCCTGGCCGCCCTGTTCCCCCCCACGGACAAGCTCACGTGGAACAAGGACTTGCGCTGGCTGCCCGTCCCAACGTTTTCCAACCCCCGCCCTCTCGACATCCTCATCAAGGCGCGCGACTGTCCCAAGTAAGACTGTCGAGGTGTGTACGCTGTCATTGATACTGTAAGTGTATTTCCCTCCCGGTATAGGTACAGGCAATTCTTGAAGGATCTGTTCGACACCGAGGAGATGAAGCAGTTGGTGGCAGAGCACGACGACATTTTCGGGACGATGGAGAAAAGCAACGGGAAGAAGTTCAACTTTGACAGCCTCTTTTGCGCGTACAACGCAATCGTCATACACGTGAGGGTTTTTTTTTTTTTTTTTTTTTTTTTTTCTTTTCCTTTCGTCTTCTCCTTGACTTCCTTGGCGATGGGAGCCATACGTTTGTCCGGGGACTCGGATAGGAATCGCTCGTCCGTTACATTATAACTACAGGTGTGTTGTTGTCGCTGCTCTTGTTATTTTCATCTTGTGTACGTGTTGAACTTGTCCTTGTTCATGTCGGCGCNACATCGGTGTGTTTGTGCAGTGCATGCATGAATTATGCGGAGGTACGATTTCACATCAGGCAAAATGTGAAGTAATTTATTAAAAAATATTGTAATAACACAACAATCACAACGACAACAATACTTATTTACTTCGCTGTGGACATTACGATTAATTAATTTGTATTGAAGTATTATATGACGCGTGTATTTCAACGCTTATATACTTAAAATCACACTAGCAAAGTTTTTTCTAAATTTTCGCTTATTCTTTGAGCAAAATAAGTCACGTTCAACTCGACGTTCAATATCACATGTATAGACCAGATCATACGCCAAAGACATCGCACGTTGAAACGAAAAGGAAAAAACGAAAAAACACTCCCTCTTCTCTAAAACTGACATTGACCTAACGTCGAGTGTATAATACATGCACGAGCGAGAACAACTCCAATTTTTTAGTCTGCCCGTTCTCTATACATCATGAGTACTTATAAAACTTACGTCGCATCATCGTATGGTCGTCATTGTATTGTGTTGCGTCGTTGTTTCTCTATACGCGCAACAACAGAGGCAGACCAACATACATTAATAATTCCACAAAACATCTTTGAAAAAAAAAAACAATTTACTAAATAAATGATCTTGTTTAACAGTCCAATTCATTTTGCGTTGGTATCACGTCTCTCAGTAGGTACGAAAATGTTCTGAAGGGACACAGCTCCTCGCAACCCGGAATCCGTTGCACCACAAACTCGGATGGTATGCCCAAGTAACGCACTACCTGTAATATGGGATGGCACTCGTGAGTCTTTCCAACAGTGTAGCGATAAAAAAAAAGAAAAAAAAAGAAAAAAAAAAGGCAAATTAGTGTATACCTTAACGTAGTATTCGTTGTTTATCGCGTGAAGCTCAAAGAGAACGGCACTCGAGTACGCGGGCACGTGCGGCTCGAAAATACCCAACGCCTGAAGAACAGCGGCTACGTTGGTCTCGTGTCCGCTGTACAGGGCGATCCTCCGATTTTTCGGTATCTCACCCACCATGGCCATCTTCATGTCCTTCATTATCGCGTAAAGGAGCTTTCCTGAGAACAGCCGAAATACCGATTTAACGCATGATCAAATCCCCAAGATTTGTCACTCGATGACTTGCCTCCATTGAGTCGCCTCATGCGACGGTTGTGGCTGAATATCTCGTACTCCAGGTAAGTACCCTCGAGGAGTCTACCACTCGGAAAGACATCGTCGGTCCAGCCCGGAAGGGTGAGATTCATGGCTCGCTCCGCGGTCATCAGGTGGTACAGGTTGAACATGTCCACGGGCTTCGAGATCTCCTTACCGGTCAGGCCGGTCAGTTTGTCCATGAAGCCCCGGAAGCTCTCGATCTTTTCCCGAACCTCCGGCGTACCCTCCACCCGAGCGCGCTCCGCCATATACCTCCGCAATCGTTATCATTACTATTATATTTATGCAGCGAGTTAACGAGGTGACAAGTTGACATTACTGTGGGCAATTTTCGGGGATCATGAGCCAGTCCCTCTTGGAGTCGACGTAGACGGTGGGTACCGGCTGCCAGAGCAGGTTGGCGTTCCACAATTGGGAGGTCATCCTCGGCGGGTAGAGGGACGCGAGGACGAGCTGCAGGCACATTTTCGTCCTTGGGTAGTCGGTGCTGCGCGCAAACACCGAGTCGGGCAGACACGCGTCCCCAAGGAAGTGGTCGTACCTAAGCCGCAGCAGCTCGCCGAGCTTGTACAGCCTGCGTTTGCCGGCCTGGAACACGCGAGCCCTTTGTCATTTGCGTACTCTGCGAGGCGGCCGTTATTGGCTTTGTACTTACGATCGTGAGTCCACCGGGACCCTCGGGGTAGAAGCTCTGGTGGGGATCCGTCGGGAACATCTCGGCGGGGTCGGGCGCCCGGTCTCCGTGCCGGAAGACCTGGGGCATGGAACTCAGTTACATACATACCGATCATGACATATTTTCATTGCACCACGCGTGTGTATATATACATATGTACTCACCACACTCACGAGCCTTAGGTTCGACGGGTCGTCCCTGTCCAACTCGTTTGGCGGTGGTTCTTGGACGATCGCCCCGGCGATGGCGAGGGCGCACGCCAGCGCGCCGATGGCTCGAGTCATTGTCATGATCACTATATGTGGTGGTGATTACTCGCGTTAAATAATATACGGGTACTTATTGGCACTTTTGCGCGCGATATGGGTGTTGGACGCACTCTCTTATTTTTTTGCAAAAAGTGTACATATCATTGTACGGGTGAGAGTTAAAAATCAGTGGTCACCGTTTCGATTGGCATGAAAAAACTGATGGTGCCGTTTCCGAAGAGTCGATGAGTATGCCCGAGTGGCATTCTAATCGGTGTATCGCGTCTCGCTTATTTGTACAAATTATAATATCGCGCAAGTATAGGTATTATTAATTTGTTACAACTAGGGCGTCGAGTCACGTTGCGTCGAGTGTACCCACCGACAGACAGACAGGGTCAGTCCGCGTGCTGCAACTGTAATCGTAACTTTTGATTGGTAAAGGCTAACAACGTCAGAGAAATTTAACTCGAAAAAGTTTATCGTACTTTGACGCATATTGCTTGCACTTTTATTTATTACTTTTATTATTTTTTGTGTACGTGTCTGCAGTGTAGTTGAGCTTACCGCGAGTGTTTTGCAAAATTCATGAAAATAACGCAAGTCAACAATTTTTATTTATTTTTTCAACTTTTTTTTTTTTTTTCTTCATACGCTTTTTAACGATCGCGCACAGCTTGAAATCTTTGTCCAACTACTGATAACTGACATTTTTTTACTGTCGAATAAAAAATTCCACGACGGAATAGACGGGCACTTTGAATTTGTTTGACTTTTTCGATAAGAGATTATATGATACTGTTCACGTGAAATCCGAGAAAAGAGCTGATGATAGCCCCAATAAAACTGCGCTTTGTTGAGCAAATAGAGTTTCAATATAGATGATTACGCAAATACGCTAAGTTTATGCGAATATTTTGTTCAACTTGCCAAAAAGTTTTGAAAAAAAAGTGATTTTGTTGGGGTTTGAAGAAAAAAAAAAATTTTACTAAACTACTTTTGTGATATAAATATAACAAACTCGTGTTTTTGTGGAAAACCCCGTGTTCACTACGTTACAAACACGAATAATCCCGAGCAAGTGTTAACTGGCGTGAAATTTATAATTTTTCGCTTTGATTTTTATCACACAAATAGCACGTATTACCTGAACGAAACCTCCGACTTCGGACACCAAACTCCTTGGACCCAAGAGACGCGAGTCTTATCGAACGAGTCGAGAGCCGCGGATGAAGCGGCAGCTTCTAAGCAGCTTAGAGAGTACCCGATCGCATCAACAACGACACTTTTTATCTTCTCAGCGACGCGCGTCTCTCCGCCTCAACTCATTATGCTTAAATCCTCCCTTTCCCGCGTTTGTTCACGCGTCATTTCAAACGCACGAACTTCACGTGCTCGCAGACACTTTTTATTTACTATATTAATCGTGATAAAGCGATAAGAGCTGATTTTCTCCTGAAATCGAAGATCGGCGTGCCTGTATGCGCGTGTAGTTGGCGGTTCATCGCTCGCCGAGCTCTCCCGGTAAATCTATCAACGTTGTTTGCACTAATTTTGCGCGCCTTTGTGCAACGGCTCGTCGCGATGCGAAACCAAAATTTTATCGACGATGAAAAAAACGCTTCGCGCATGAATTTCCGACAGTTTAAATTGCCTCGGCGTCGCTTGTTCGACTTAATTATATTTTCCAACTCGCCTTAATCAATTTTTTTTTTTTATTTCACGCTGATATCAAAAAACAGCTGAGGTAACACGGTCATCTGAGCATCGGAATGTCGACGTCGGATCTCGTTAAATATTGACAAGAGGTGAAAAACACACTTTCCGCGTTCGCGTCTTTGAAAAGATGATAATGCCAGCCGAATACAATAATAGAAGCGCCTGCGCTCGAAATCGTCGTAAAATTTTTCACACAATACCGCGAGTGATAAGGGGAATCTTTGCTCCATCGCGCGCAACGTGTCGTCACCTATCTCAGTCTTCTTTTGATACCGCGACGTCTCGGAGTTTATAAAAAAAAAAAAATAATAATTTTCAGACAATGAAATTTGTACTATTGTACCAACTGTGCGCCTACAGCGTGCTCTTGACGCTTTCGAAGGTCTATGTCTCGGCAAAGATGGAACTAAAATTGCTGAGCGTCGTAAGTCTTATCTCAAATTTTTTATGCTGCTGCTACTATGCTAAAATCTATCCCCGCGACGTTTTTCCAGCTTTCGATCAACAAATTTTACGTTCCCGACTACAACTACTTGTCGCCCGAGTTCAAGGTTCCGAAAAATTTGACCTACGAGTACTTCACGAGCAACGCTGTTGACGTCCCCAACGTAAGCTATACCGATAATCGAAAATATATATATTATGTCGTATGACAAAACTAATGCGTCGACCATGGTTTTTTTTTTTTTTTTTTTTTTTTTTTTCATGTAAAATAGCAAAGTTTAATAAAAGTAAAGCTTATACTATAGCTAATTTTCCTCAAGAATCGATTGGTAAAGTTGTGGATTTTTATTTTAACGCAGAATGGAAAAAAATGGAAAATTTATTATTTTTGGACGGCTTCGATTTGAAATTCTTAAAGGGCATCGATTTTCAACGAGAAAATGTCTTAGTGGAATTATATTAATATTATTTTCATTTAACTTATCAATATCATAATGCGGTGTAGTTCCTGTGCCTCAAAATTTCAACTCACAGCAGTATGCTAACTTCTTTGTAGAGCTTGACCGGAAACTTTTCTCTAAATCACATTATCCATACACGTTAATAGTTACTAATAAAAGGTGGAGGCCTTGACCTTCTTTTTAACCAGACTTTATTTAGGCGGTCATTTTGATAAAGAGAAACCATTAAACTCTCATATTTTCTGAAAAAATCGTTTTTTAGTTAAATTCGATTTTTCAAATGTCAACAAACGTCAATTAACTACAACTACAACTGATAACAAGCTATTTTTTATTGGTTACTGGAAATTTAGTCGGCCAACCAAAACACATCCACCAATGTTTACAAGTCAGGTGAAATGGCTGCAGTGACATTTCTCAGGGACGGTTTTATCGTAAGATATTAGAAGTCTTTAAAAAATTATTTCAAAAGAGTCAATGCTTTCTCTCAATCAGCGCGCCGGTATTTTTGACTCGACACAGTCAAAGAAGGTCAAGGTCCAAATCTATTTACAATCGTTGACAATAATTTCCAGTTAAATTTAGAATCGTTTAAAGGCAAACGAGAATAGTTTCCGGCCAAGCGGAATATAGGTTGTTCTATGCAACGACTCGAATTTCTAGAATTTCAGATATTCCATTTTTTTTTTTTTTTTCCAATTAACGTCGAAACCCAAATCTGACTTTGCCGATCGATCCCCTAGGAAAAATTAGCTTTGCTCTTATCGTTAAACTGTGCTTCTTTTGACTCGAAAAAACGATGGGTGATGGTCAACATTTATTATTTTGCTAAAAGCCCCTCACGTCCTTTTCCAGAGCGTCAAGCTAGACTTGTTCGGCCTCGGGGTGAGCCTGCGAAAGACGTACGACCGTTTCCTCGGGTCCCTGTACACCGAGCCGGCGATGCTGATGCGCACGACCGAGTACCCCGTGTCCATCATCGCCGGGGAGCTGATCAACGCCGGACTGTGGCCACCGGTCGGCCCGCAAATCTGGAAGGAAGACCTCCCCTGGCAGCCCATCCCCTTTGGTAAGCCGCGCACCCTCCAACCCCGACAAATTTCACCCAATCCCTGATGTTTTTCTCTCCCATCCAGAGTACAAGCCAGCCACGGAGGACGCCGTGCTACTAGGCACCCTGTGCCCCACCTTCAAACTCGAAACGAGCCGGGTCCTCTCGGAGCGCGACGACCTGACCGGCGCCCACGTCCAGCTGGTCAGTCGCTTGCACGACATCGGGATCATGAACATCTCGACGCTCCTGGACGTGCCCTCCCTGTACTTCACCTTGGAAAACGCCGTAAGACTCGACTCTCTACCCACCACCACCCTATACGTGTCCACGCGTATATATGTGTACAAACCGGGGGAGCTTTCCAGGTGGAGCTGAACCGAACCCTGCCACAGTGGGCGTCGAGCGTTTTCCCCGGCCAAGGTCTCCTCAACGCGACTCTGGCCGCCTACGAGCTGCTGTCCCAGACGAAGGCCCAGAGACAACTGAACGGCGGAGCGCTCGTCAAGCTGCTTCTCCAGGACTTCCACGAGGCCGACGAGCGCAAGATCAGCGTGTTCAGCGGGGACGATCGGCTCTTGGCCGGGGTCTCGAGGATCCTTGGCGTGCCGGCGAAGGATGTACCGGCTGCCGGCGCGGCGCTGATTTTCGAGCTCCACGCCGACGACGACGACGAGCGTTTCGTCAAGGTACGGTCTAGTGCGTTTACATACTCGCATGCCCGTGCACCACGCGCTCTCTGATTTTCAGATCATGTACTACACCGGGGGCAAGGATGCCGAATTCTTTCCCTACCCGGTGGGCTGTGGCATTTTTTGTCCCATGAGGAATTTCACCGAATTGGTGGCGGATTCGTTGCCCGGAGATGGTCTTGCCCTCTGCCGCGGGACCAATCATTCCACGGACGGCCCAAGAGGCTCCTCCTCGGTGGATCTCGGCGTTTCGAACTATTTCCTACTTATTCCCGTACTTTCGGTTGCTTTGCCGTTGGCCGTCCCCGGGAGTTCTCGGTTGTAAAAATTTTGCGAGTGACCGATTCCAAGGAGGCTTATGAACGGTGCGCGTGACTAGTGTCGGGTGAATTGGAAAAAAAGGACTTACCCTGCGGTATGGATGTATAGGAGAAAATCTGCCAAATTTCCTTGGTGGTTGTTTTTGAGGTATGTGTAACTGATGTCGGTTCGGATGCCGGCGATGGAGTGAAGGTGGACACAGGGACGCGTCAAGCTTTAAACTATCTTCGTTGTAGCGTCTCATCGGGGATTTTGTAAATCAACGCCGGACGCGTCGTCGATATTGTCGAACTGTACTGTTATTTTCGAAACTTCCAGTTAATAATTGATTTGTGTATCTATACATATAGAAAGAATAAATAAAAATAATAAAAACGAGAAAATGTGCCTTTGACGTGTAGGTTTGAAGCTTTCAACTCGCTGCGCAGACCAAAAATTTATCAACGTCATTGTACAGACAATTATTATCATACGTTGTTGAGTATTTTTTTTCTTGGAATGTAAAGTTGCTGATACAATATCCATCGAAATCCCAATTTGACCCCGTACGTGCTTTCACCGTAAGCGTAAGAGCTGAAAAACGTCAAGCCGAAGGGATTGACCGAAAATTTCAGGAGATTCGAACTCAAGTTTTAACCAATGAATTTATAAATATAACGTTGAGAAGGAAAACAAACATCCGCAAGAAGAGCACGCGCGTATCAGTGGACAGCCTTTTAAAGTAAGTGTACGCTGCGATAAACAGCCGAAGGTCGTTTCAATTGTCGGCGCGCGACTGCAACAGCGCTAAACGAAACAGAGCGAGTGCGAAGCACCTACAGCCGGGTGGAATTTCCTCCGTTTCGTTACTGTTACTTATTACGTGGGGGCCACGATGTGGTTCGTGTCCGAAGTGCTGACGATCAACGCGCTCAGCGGTTTGTTCGGGCTGTTCCTCCAAGCCGACTACAGCACCCGCATAACGCTCCACGCGGACGTCGAGGTTGTCGAGAACAACACGAGCACGCGGAACTTTGAATTCCCAGCAGCTGCCGTGGAAACGATCAATGCCCTGGCGCGCAACCGATTTCCCGACACTTTCCGGCTCGGAGCGGCCTCCTCGGCCTACCAGGTCGAGGGGGCGTACAACCGTTCCGGTATTTTATTTAAAAATCTCTTCGTTGCGCGGAAATTAAAAAAGAGCAAGGAGAAACAAATGTGGTGTGGCTTGTCGTTTGAAAGGCAGGGGGCTGTCGGTGTGGGACTACTGGACCCACGAGCGCCCGAGTCTGATCAGGGACGGGGGTAGCGGTGACGTCGCGTGCGACTCTTTCAACAAGTGGCCGGACGACGTCGGGCTCGTCAAGGACATCGAGGCACGAGTATACCTTACACACCTACGACCAATTTTCAGTACCCGGTTTGAGAGTCATCCCACATTTTTCGCAGGCCAACGCTTACCGATTTTCTTTGTCCTGGTCGCGAATCCTCCCCAACGGCCTGTCCAACCTGGTGAGTCCCGACGGCGTCGGGTACTACAACGAGCTGATAGACAAGCTCGTCCTCGATGGTGTCGCGCCCATGGTGACGATCCACCACTTTGACGTTCCCCACAAGCTGCAGCTGCTCGGCGGCTGGACGAATCCAAGGATGATCGACTACTTTGAGAGCTACGCCCGGCTGGCCTTTGCGTACTTCGGTGACAGGGTGAGTCCGTACCGCTCCGTGCGTATACATGTAGGCAATTGTGATTGATAAACGAGCGCAGGTGAAGCTCTGGGTTACGATAAACGATCCCTGGGAGTTGTGCAATCGGCAGCTGGGCGACCCGTACAGGCCGATCTACAACGACAGCGGGATCGGTAACTACCTGTGCGGCCAGCACGTGTTACTGGCGCACGCGCGAGCCTACAATATGTATCGGAGCGAGTTCCAGAGGCTCCAGCGGGGCAAGGTGGGCATAAGCCTCGGGGCACGATGGTTCGAGCCGGAGGATTACACGTCGCCGGAGGACGCGGAGGCGGCCGAGTTGAGCTTTCAGTTTGCCAACTACTGGTTCCTCCAGCCGCTGCTCGGCGAGATGGGAAATTACCCCGAGCCCGTGAGGCTCGCCGTCGAGCTGAGGAGCGCCCTCCAGGGCTACCGATCTTCTCGGCTGCCCGCGCTCGACCGCCAGCAGATCGAGCTCCTCAAGTCTAGTCTTGATTTCCTCGGGTTGAGCTTCTTCACGACCTACTCGGTGCGATCTATCGCCACTGGTGCTCCGCCCGCTGCATATGATTGTGGTAGTGCTGCTACACCCGGGGAGTCGTCCCTAGAGGCCGACATGGCTGCGACTTGGCTGCCCTACGAGGACGCCTTCGGTGCTCACGAGGTCAAGGTATATTTCCCGTGCTCGATTTGCCGATTCGTTGCGAAAAATCGGTTGCAAAGCTTGTAGCTTTTCATGAAATTTATTGACTGGCATTTTGAAAGCAACGGCTTTTTATGTATATGCACGCATACGTGCGAGCAGAACACGGCGGGGAATTTCGGCAAGTTGCTGAAGCGACTGAGCGACGACTACATTTTGCCAAAGATTTACATAACTGCTAATGGTTATCCGGACTTTGGGGAGTCTTACGACGTGGACAGAGCAGTTTACCTGTACGACCACATGGGCGAGCTGCTCGAGGCGATGAAGTCTGGTCTTGATGTTCGGGGTTACTTTGTTTGGTCCCTGATGGACAGCTTCGAATGGCAAGATGGTTACAGGTGAGCCGTTTAAATGGTACGATCGATCCAGCCCCCCCCCCCCCCGAAAGGGTACGTCTGGCGTTGACTAAATTATTTTTGTTTGTTAATTTGTTCCAGCAAACGCTACGGCTTGTTTTCGGTTGACTTCAACGACGAGGGTCGTCCGAGGAGAGCAAAGTTGTCGGCAAACGTGATTCGATCGTTTTTTAAATCGAAAAAACTTCCGGAAAATTTTACAACTGCATTACGAAGTGTGAAAGGTTGGTCGATGGATTAATCGGAGCAATAAAAGTAAACACAGAATGTATCTTTTGGCATTATTTATTTTAGTTTACAGTAATAAGGTGTAACGATTTTGTTTCTTGTTGTACACAGTGGAATAAAAATAGTTGGTTCAACCAGTCATACACTTCATTTATTTTCGTTAAACATTAATTTTTAATACACTATTTTAATCACTTTGTTGACAATGTATTATTTACAATTGACTTATCTTCATTTTATTCTAGCTATTGATAATCAAATACTGGTAACTTTGGGTTTCATCAAGTATTAACGTTAAAAAAAAAACAAAAAAAAAACCGTATAAAAAATGAACGAGAATTAAAAAAACTCAAAAGTCGTACTTTTCTTATAAAAATGTACAATGAAAATAAATCAGACGTTGGAGAAAATTGATATTTCATTTTTATCCCTAATAGCTACAGTATATAACCACAGTTAGAGACAACCGGCAAGTATAACTTTATTTTAGAATTAGTTCAATCAGAGTCTTAAAACATTTTTCATCACCCAATAAGATTAAATAAGATTCAACTTTTTAATTTTAGTCATAAAATAACAGTAGGAAGCTCTGACGCTCGGAAATCCGAACATGTAATGCATATGCAAAATGCTTCTTAACGTTAAAAATTGTTAATATGAAAACGTTGTTCCCGCGTTTTACGTGAGTTATTAAAGATTCCTAATTATATGAACAAAAGTTAATGTTGTGGTCAGGAATGCATTACTTATTAATATTAATCTATAGAACGACAGTATTTTGATCTTGTACATTACATCTTGTACTATTTTATAAATTTTTTTTTGTAAGTTGAATTATTATTTTTTACAATTATAACTATTTTAAGATTCACATTAAAAAATACTTTTTTAAAGATATTTTCATCTATACATTAAATTTTTATGGATCTTAAATTTTTACAAGCAACTCTTAAGCTTTGAGATATTTGTTTTTTAAACTAAGTGATATCAGTACACTTAAAAATTTAAGAAAGTTTTGAGTCAATTGCAGATGACGAATGTACGTCACTATATGTTTAAAAGTCATAAAAAAAGTTTAAACATCAAGTTTAATTTTTTTGTTTTTTTAATAATTTAGTTTAAAAAATACTTTAAATAATTTTTTAATATATATTAACGTCATTATTTGACACTTATCCCATAACAACAAATTATTTAACAACAAATATATGTTATATTAAAAACACGTTTTTGTAAAGAAATACATATAAATATAAATCTAAAACAACAATAATCTTAATAATTATAATATTTAAAAAATGAAATTTGTAAAAAGTATAAAACTGCTAACTATGCTTGGCAGAAATCACAAGTTTTAAAAAAACTCAAACATTTTTCAAATATTTGAACACCATTTTCCAAAGAATCTCTCAAACATTTGATTCATCAATATTGCTGAGAGGTGTAATAACTTGTTTTAATTAGTACGATTCAACAATACAATTGAATTTTTAAGAAATATTGTCATTTGCCTATGTTCAATGTTAAAATTTACATTTTAATTCTAATACTAAAATTCTTTGACACATGGTAACTTGTAAGCAGAATTCCTTTGTTACTAATTACAAGTTTAAACTGCAGTCAGTCTGAATCAGTAAAAAAAATTAGTTGTATCCTTGGCATTAAGGTATAAGTGAAAACTTTTGGTGAAAACAATTGCACAGATCAAAAGAATGATAAAATAATTTTAATCTATAGGAATATCTATTCATTAGATAACTATTTCGACGCTTTGGTGGTTGTCTCTTCTCGACTCATGAAATTTTACCTCTTCATGGCATAATGACTTTATTCGCCATCAGAAGATTCTGTGGAGCTTTCCGGCATCGAGCTGAACCAATTACCTCGCGAATTTCTACAGAAGCACATTAACTATCATTTTTTGAAGCGAAATTATAATTATATTGTTATTTCTATCTTTCGAAAGTAAACCCCTTTGGTATATCAAAAATGAAATGATTCTCAATGGTTGGTTCTGTGGGTCTAATTTAATGTTATAGATAGGTTCTACTGGAGTGGCGGAGATTGATTGTGACTACTATGATGATTGGTGTTTTACTTTTAAGCGTTTAAAAGAGTCATAAGCATAAATAAAAAAATGCATGCATGTAATAAAAAATAAGTCATTTTACGCATGATTCATAGAGTAAATAATCACGCGTTATAGCATTTGAGAATTATTACATAAAGTGTCATAAACGTATGGCACAATGAAAAAATCACCTGAAAAGTAAAGAATGTCCTTAAATAAGAATTCGAATCTAGGGGTACGAGTTTTTTAACGTAATTGGCAATAATAAATATTGACGAAACGAATCAAAGACATGAGTTATGACATTGATATTTCAGAGTATCGATTTTCATAGTGATTCCTTTGTCTTTCATGACGCGAAAGCAGCGATCGATTGATTCAAAGATTTTTTGTCGTAAATATTACAACTTGAAACGAGACTCGGTACGAACCCGATATATATTATGAATATTACCTTGTACGGGAGCGCGTGTTGGTAGGTAAGGTGAGAGAAGTTCTGTAGTACTGGGGAGTTGAACCAGAAGCAGCATCTTCTGGCCTCCTCTGCAGCGTCATTGTTTCATGCGGCGATGTAACCAACTCATCCTCGTTGTCTAAATAAAACCTAGAGCCGCTTGCACTTTTGCAATTTTCGCACTCGCTTCGATAATCGTCAGTCTCGTCGTGTAGTGGCGGCAAGACTTGACCGCTACACGTACAAGTAACCGAATCAAAGCTTCCTTCTTCATTGACTTCGTTTGCTGCAGCTAGCGGAGGCTGTCAAAGTTCAAGTACGTGATTAAGTAGTTCAACTCGGTCGAAACACAATGAATCTATTACAGAAGTAATGGTATACTTTGTAGTTGCACAACGACGTAGATGCATCTTTTGATTTGGTATCCGTAGTTTTCGCTGGCGTGGACGTTTTCTCCTGAGAATGCGAATCCATGTCGAAAAATGCATTAGTCCGTACCGCACCTTTCCCGCTAGAGAAAGTTGATGGGACATTAGACGCGACACCTGTCGATGAAGTTGCAGCTCTTGGTGAAGGGCTGGCATTTCCGGCAGCGTTATTTTTACGGGATGTCAACGGCGAATTAAACGGATCAACCGAACGTTGAACGGAATACTCTCCCCGCAGACGCAAACTCCCACTGGTCGCCAGATTTCGCGGTATCGTTCTGTGTACACCAGCTTGGGCGTTGGAAAGTGTGGCAGATATCGTAAAAGCTCCTCCCAGACGAGGAAGCGTCGTTTGCCTGTAACTCTGTCCAGCTGAATTCTGAGGGCTTGGCTGCAGGCGTTGATTACCAGGAGACGAATTGTTTTGCACTGTGATGTTACTGGCACTACTCGATAATGCTGATCTATTGACGGGTATTGGTAGATTCTCGTAGATATTCGTGCCCGCAGCAAAACTCGTTGAGCATGCACCAGAGCAAAAATCAGGTGCTGCAACTTCCGTTTGATTGGATTGATAACAGCTGTGGGCTGCCGGACTGCTCAAAGGTCTGTTGGTAGGGGCAGAAATCAATGGAGATGTGCTCGATGCATTGTTTGGCGACAATGTAGGTGAACTAGCAGGTAATCCATTTTGACTATTGGTTACTAATGAGATATTGGTATGGGCAGTGTGCTCCATCAAATATGCATTGGAAAAATTAAGAGGCGAAAGTGTATTTTGGTTCATGGATAGCAAGGCTTGCTCAGCTCTGGCTGCGGCCACTGCTTCCTCGTAAGGAGGAGGAGCTTCCCCACGAGGGAAGTAATTGCTTGGGGGCTTCCAGAGAGGATAACCTCCATTACACGGCAAGTCGTCCATTGGCATGCCATGCTGTAAGCTATTTCTGTCCAAGTAGCCCATACTGCCCAATGATCTTTGATCATCAGCTATGTGACTATTTTGTTGTTCTACAGTAAAAAGAAAAAAGTTTAACGCATAGCGGTAAAAATCGTCATAAGTCACTGTATTAGTATGTTATATACCTCTTTTTTTCAACCTAAAGTGTAAAAACAAAATTATTGATACAATGAAAAATGTACCAATGATTACAGCCAATATATAGCCCAAGAGAAGTGGTCTCAACTCTGGGTTTAAGTCAGTCCCGTCATTGGTCGTAGAAGACAAAGTGTCATCCAAACAAATCAGTTCGCAGCAATTACTGCCAAAGCGAAAAGTCTTGCAATCTTTGTTTGGCAGAGACTCTTGATCTTTGTACTAAAAAGGTAATATTTGGTGATTTACAATTACACAAGATGACGCTAGTACCTATTTGGTCAAGGTAAAATTTAAAAGGGATACCTTGCACAGCACAGCTTTGCAATAGGTGGGATTTCCATTAACACACACGCAGATTGTGCAGGGTTTTGGTCCGGGAACATAAAACTGGCCCGTCTCGATGCTAGAACCATTTATGTCTCTGCACATAGCACCAGCGCCAGCCAGTGCTTCAGCTTTACAATGCAACAGCAGCAGCAGTAGCCAAGTCAAGTGCAACAAAAGAAAATTTTCATCAGTTAACATTACCACCATATAGCAGTTGGTTGATACTTTTCCAATGTATAAGTGAGTAGTTTTTAGTTTGAGACACTTGAATGAAAAGTAGGTGCTCATAATGGTATGAATGTGCCGAAAACTGTGTCAAGTCAAACATACCTACTCGGGAGATCGCCCTACTTTGGTGCTTAAAAGATGTCGTTTGCTCAAAATTTAGGTCAAAACGTAAAAAGGAAAGCAAACGAGGGATAAGCGCCGTCTGACGCGCAAACAAAAAAAATTCAACATAAAGCTCACATGATGTACTCTCAAAAGAAAACCAGGTAATGGTACTAATAATAATACTAATAGTAAAAATAAATGTGTGTAAATAACTACATGGGCACCGGCACCAAAGGCTTGAGTGTGAGATGACATGGTTGCGTGTGCAGGTAAATAAAACGGAAAGCTCGATTCGTACCGCCGAATGCACTCAGCATCGTTAACTCATTGCTCTATCCTCTGATGATGATGCTGCTCCTAAATGACTCCTCCTTCTCCTGCTCCACGCGCCGATGACGACGTGCAGCTCAGGTGGTGGTGGCGGCGTAGGCTGTTGCGAAGCATTATTATTGCTTAAGTTCCAGCTTCCTCCAAATTTTTACACCAACACGGTAGGAAGGAGCAGATGGGTATATATATATATATTTTTTTTTTTGGGGTGTGTTTTGGAGCGGTGAATGTTGCACGACTAACACGACATAGACACGCGCACACGACAAACCAGGCACGAGTTAACAATGACCAGTGGAGGACGCGAGGAAAGACGGGACGTCCTCATGGAAATGGACGTAGCTAACCTTGCCCTGCGCTGCAGAGCTGTGGACGAGACGCGAGTCAGTCGACAACTGTCTCTTATCTGTCCATGTTATACCTACGTCTAGTTCAGTCCAGCGCACGATCATTTTATTCGCACTGTATATTTAGCAAAGCACCATTACTTACTTACAAGTATTGGCAAATTGGCATACATTCAGGGATTAAGTTCACTATAGAGATACTTACACATAGGTAAGTATGCATACACCGCAGACACCGTACGGTGTAAGAAAAACTTTGTTGCTATACATAGATAGATATCTGCTGGCAGTGACTGCAGACAGAGATTAGTTGGCTGCAGAGGTCGGCCGCAGTGGCATGACCGTCGGTATACCTACGGATTGGAAACTATAAGTATATCCTTAGTAAGGTTTTCGGTGTCGACAAAGAGCCAAAGCCGCAAAAACTGTATAAAAATTCATCGCCAACACTTTTTTATTATATAATAAGAGGATCAGACGCTGTTGAGATTTTTTCTAATCTATTTATAGCTGCTTTTTTATTAGTTAATGATCGATTGAAAATTTATTCGTATGCTTGAAAAAAATTGAATTCTCTGAAATGGTTTTTTTTTTTTTTTTTGTGGACAAGACCTCCGTCAAAGCAAAATTTGTAGAACCCGTTTTGGCAAACTTTTTCATTTTTCAACGTTTGCGAAATATATACATCATTGACTCGTGATACTATATTTTTTCCATACTCGAGATGGAATGACAACTTTTTTTTTAACTTTGATGGAAACATTCAGTAAATTGGAACTGGATTTTTTTTTAAATCTAAAATTAATCTCTCGATGCAAATAACAGCTAATTTGGAAGTGAGCAATTCTACTTCACAAAAAGTGTTCCCATAGTTTTACCAATAAAACCGTCTCGGAGCTGTTGGCGCAAGTCAAGTTTTTTGTCGTTAAAAAAAAAAAAAAAGAATTCTAGACAGTGTATACTTTCAAGGGACAATTTTTTATTATAATACTTTTTTAACAGTTATCTGTAAGATCAATACATAACTGCATGGTTGTTGTTGGAATCTTGCGCGCAACAACAAATATAAATTTTTTCATCTCGCGAATTTCTCGGCAATCTAGTGGTAAAGTGTGTTTTTATGTTGCACCGTACGGGACAATACGTGTATATATGTATGTTACAAACGCAGCCACGGAACAAACAGCAAACACAAAAGGCGGCTGTTAACAGCTGATGTCACACCCGTTGTAAAATAATATATACATCCCTGAATTCGTTGAGTCACTTCGCAATAACCGAGTGATGTGCTACTCTATAGCACATGGCATTAACTTTACATACATATAATTTTATGTACCTACACACATGTGATTAACCATACATATTATGTTGTGAAAGACTTTTCGAAAAACGAAAGCCTTGATAGATCGAATAAAAAAAAAAAAAAAAAAAAATAGAGAGAAAGCTCAGCTGTTATTTATTCCTTGCATCATATCGCACATCATTTCGACATCATCGATGGAACCAAAAAACTCTAGTCCGCGAGGCACAACATATTATATACATAGGTACACTGTCACAATCACTGAGTTGGATATAATATCGACGTGAGCACGTGATAAAATACCGACATACGTATTATGATTATAGCTCGCGTGTTTTACACACACCACATATTATTGCAAACTATATCACAAAGTAGACGTACACAACCCACGGCCTCTTGTTTGCGCTCCAGATGCATCATTGTATAAATATATATATAATGCATCCCATTACGCGACCTTGCACGACTCTCTATCTTGCCGTACACACATTAGCTATTTACTGTGTAGCTATGATGTACAGGTGACGATGTAATTTTTTTTTTTTTTTTTTTTTTTTTTTTTATAAAACATTTGTATTGATTATATTGTACGTACATCATAGGTGATTTTTATTTAGGTATTTCCACACGTTTTTGTGTCCTCTCAATATATTTCGTGTACCAAGTTTTACGTTTTTATTGAAAAATAATGGAATCAAAACTAAAAGAAGAAACGTATTCCATGGGTAATTTTATTTTTTAAAAGTGATCCAGATGTCTCGATTGAAAGGCCAGATACGCGATCTACAATCTGTACATAATATTTTGCAAAGTCGCCACCGACAATTTCGCCTAAATTAAACTCGATTGCGGATTATGTTATCTGTATTTTTTTTTTTTCTCATCCACAAATCGCGTTATGATTTTTTTTTTTTTTCTTCACAAGTGGTTTTTATCAAACGTGCTAATGGAATTTTTAGAAACTCCGTGCCGATTCTCTAATTTTTATTAGCACGCTTATCTCGAGCACGCGTAAGTATTGCGTAAGCTTTTTGGCAAACTGGTTGTACGTTTTTTCGCTGGCACTTGTAAAATTAAAAAAAAAAGAAAAAAAAAAAAATGTCACTTATCTAACCCCTTTTCCTCACGTTCGGTGTAACAACTAATTACAAAATACAATTTCACAAAAAACAACTTCTACAAGTACACATAAATCAATCACGTGTATAAATTTCTAAAAATTATTTCGTTAATTCAATTAA